CAAGGATCCCAAACTTTCGTAGCAGTGTTTGACCCGTTCACTACACTTCGTATTTACCACACACACACACACACACCTATCGATGAAACCAAAAGTGAGTGATCCATACAAGAAAAGAATAAAGATAAAAACTGTGGGTAAGTGTGAAGGCTGTTCACGCCACGATCCATTGGCCTGATTGACCAGATGTCAGATGAGTGGACCATAGAAAACTCAAGGTGCGTACGAACGCCTTCTGAGTGCACAGGTCGAGTTGCACTGGTGAATCCTAATGGCCTGAGTTGCGGCTGCACACCACACGAACAATAAACAATGCGTCGCGATGTATAACACCAAATAACAACGCCTTTCTGGTTTGTGGTGATCTAGTTCGAGGAAATCCACACAAGTGCACTATCGACGAAAATGATCTAATATTGGACTGCATTGAAGCGAACGCACATTATGAAAACACGTGTGATTGTTCGACCACGCGCAACATCGTTTAACCTTGTGCCAGAGAAGATGGCATCTTAATTCCGGGAAGCTCTACCAATCACTGTTGTGCCATGGGGAGGCGTGGTTCCTATCTTATTCGTTCAACCATTCCAGATTTGGGACAATTGGTGGTTTAGAGCATGAATGACAGGAGGTGGACCGCAATTCATCACCGGTCGTTCCACAGTGGTCTACAGAAAGGAGTTTGACACCACCCAGACAGCTGCTAACTTTGGAAAGAATAACATGGTTAGATACAAGTAAAGACTGAGGAACTGCTCTGTGGACAACCGAGCAGATTCGTTGAGAATGACCGGCAGGCGAGTGCAGCAAGTCGATACTAAACTAAAGCGCGGTCGATTGCGCAAGACATTGCATACAATCCTATTTCATCGAAACAGCAAAAAGACACAAAGATATTAACACTTCAAGATTACTTTTGCCAGCTACAGTGTAGAACGGTTCGGTAAAAGACGTAGCAATAAAGATCGAACAGTGAAAGCCGTATGAAGCAGGCGAGTGCAGCAAGTCGATACTAAACTAAAGCGCGGTCGATTGCGCAAGACATTGCATACAATCCTATTTCATCGAAACAGCAAAAAGACACAAAGATATTAACACTTCAAGATTACTTTTGCCAGCTACAGGTGTAGAACGTTCGGTAAAAGACGTAGCAATAAAGATCGAACAGTGAAAGCCGTATGAAGTGCTATCGCAAAAGTTGGGGTGCAGCCAGCTCCGGAGTAAGCAATGAGGGCTGTGCGAACGTCGGTTGTTGCGCTCCAGTTGACACTGATTCACAAAAGACTGGCAGATTCAGGTTGGGCAGCGCCATAGAATTTCAAAGACTTCGGAAGGTTCAGTTGCATAACCTGTTTCATACTATGTTCCGCAACAGATGATCCCCTCAGGCTGAAAACCACATACATGTTGTAAAGGTTACAGACGCGTCATTTTCCTTCGGTAATGATCTCGGGAGATAGGAGGATAGTTATACACTGGAGGCAACTGGTATGATGGACGCGTGAACATAGGAGTGATAGTGGACTTTGGATTGAATCGGTGAGAGCTGTGTAATGAAATTTTTAGAAAAATTGATGTATGCGCTTGACTGACCTCTCGAATGGCACATCTTTCTTCAACCTGGTGCTTCCATCCAGGGAGACGGCATTGACCGGCGTAGATGAGTCTGACCCTAATGGCATCGGTACCAAGTCATTGATTCATCTTCCCTGGCTCGTTTCCACCCTTCACGTGGTGGTACTAAAATAGCTCTCCTATAAAGACGGTCGATTGGTACACGGAGCACGTGACGAAAACAAGTCCAGTCTATGGAGCATCACAAGCTTTCTTATCCTGGGTGAGTTGTTTTCTCCGAAAACCACTTGAGGTAATTCGGCAATACTGATCGGACGTTGTTACCAGACACGGTTAATGCTGCTAAGAAACCGACTGATAAACATCGAAAGATTTCGACGTCTCCAGGTTGCAGTGGAGAGGTTTCTGAACCACATAGCAACTTGGAGTGTACCAGTGTTGTAAACTCGACCCCTGAAAGATAAGGTGACGCCATTAAGTGTTGAGGTTTCTCGGATTCCCTGTTCGATTGAAAATACGATCTTTAGCTGGGCTATCGGGACTAATAAAGCTCATCCCACAGACAAATTTAATGCTTCAATCGGTTTATAGGTTCGATCAAACCCATTCCCGTAACAGAACTCTAAGGTTTGCAAGCGTGAGGCAATACCGAACTGTGGAGCAGACTCATTTAGATTACTTGATATTGTTTGCATTACGGTGACATCAGATGCACGATCCGTGTTGTCTGCGTACTTGATACGTGTGAGTGAACCATCTGGGAACACTTCGACCACCCAGACACTAGAACCTGGGAGTAAGTCTTCCATGATCCCATCGGTGGCGAGTTTGAAGCCAGTACGGCTTTGTCTGACATCACTGACATATTGAACTCAAGCGGTAGCTTGCTGAAGACTTTCAGTAGTCCAGTGAATTTGGCACACTGGGAACTAAGGGGGCAAAAGGTTATGGGGCACACATTTGCTCCATAGACACAACTATGACGCTCGAGGACCAACAAAATAAAAAGTAGATTTCAAGCCGGAGTGATTGTATAAATGCACCCCGTTGTTTAGTGCTCACAGATTTGCCTCTCTTGTGTTCGGTCCACCTTCGAACGATGAGACCAGAGAGCACCTTCGTTGCCACAGCTACCGGGTGGTATCATGCGCACCCCGTTGTTTAGTGCTCACAGATTTGCCTCTCTTGTGTTCGGTCCACCTTCGAACGATGAGACCAGAGAGCACCTTCGTTGCCACAGCTACCGGGCTGATGGTATCATGCTTTCGCACCCTTTTTGAAGATGGGAATGACTGTTGGCTTTCCCCATTCTATGCACTCCTTCCTTCACTACATGTAGCACCAGTATGTTGTAAGGTGTAACAAGGGACTTCCCGTCTTTTTTTAGAGACGGCTGGATACGAATCGTCCGGTCTTGGTATATTCTCGAGCTTCAGAAGATATAGTTCGTTCTTTATTTCTCCTTCTGGAGAACAGCTAAGGTGTTCATTCCGTTCGCCGCATACACTGTCTCCACGGCTGTGTTGCAGGTGGCTAGCTAAACCACTTTTCAAAGTACTCGGCCCATCTTTTCAATCGATGGTTTTGAGAATGAACTATTAGACTTTCTTTTTCACGTATCTATTCTGTCATAGTTACCTCCATTCGGCCAGTCTACATGAGGCATGAAAGCCAGTGATTAATGACTATTCTGCAACGTACAATAGGGTATTCCGTGTCTATGGTTATTCCTACCAACTAGAGATCAGAGAAACTTGCTCGGTTTGTGCGTAGTGTGTTCCAAGTGTAGAAACATGAGCATGTCTGACTGGGTAGACGTAACACACAATTCATAAGGTAGCTGAAGACCTTTCGACAGTCCCAGACGTAAACTCTGGGACAGCGCCTACTTGACGAGGCCGAAGAAGGGCAAAACCAGTGGTGGGCTGTAACCTCATGAATAGTGTGTTAAGTCTATGCAACGTATTGCGATATCCGGAATATCGTACCAACTAAGATATGGAGCGACCTGGTACGCCACATTCAGTTGAGGAAGAACATCATGAACAAAAGATTCAGCTGGGATTCAGCTTAGAGTCTCGTGAAAACCAAATTGGTGAGCAAACGAGTGGATCTACCGAATGTCTGACTGTGCTTTCAAAGTTCAGTAACGACTAAAACCGTTGGAAACAATAGGTCGGTTTTTAACTTTCATACGGAATATCCCGCGAGGGATATTACTGGCTATGGATTGGGTCCTGAACACACCTAACCTGTATCACATGCCATCTCAGATCAGAAAGTGAGCTCGGTCCGGTGTTGCCAAAACGGCCCCCAAGTAATGTGCGTATGCGGTAAAAATGGAAAGATGACCAGAGTGTTCAATGGAAATGTCATTTTTTAAAGTGCTCCATCATAAACTTGCATGTCTTGACAATATCAGAAACTTCCATGAAATAAGGCTGTTTCACCAAGTTCATGACCTTGACAAGCATTAAAGTATTCTGGAGATGAAACTGAACACTTAAAGATAACAATAATCTTCTACCTCCTGATTAGGTAGAAGAACCCGACAATTGTGTCGAATACATCCTGAATGTTGCCTCCCCCCGTGCGCACATTATCATAGATGTTGTCTTTTGTTGCAATTTAAAAAAGACATTAAGTGGAATACAGCACTGGGTCATAATTTTGGTGATGTTCCCAAAAAACGGGCTCAATCCGACCACGTATTGCATATACTTTTTCAATGAAGTGAAGTGAGTGACTTCAAGTTTGAAAAAAACTCATCCCCAGCTCTAGAGACGAGGAGGGGACTTCCTCAGACCTGAGTGAATAGTTTTCGGTACCGTAAATTTGTAGTTAGAAACCATCCGGGGGAAAGGGGGAGGGGTATATTTCTAATGGCACCCTTTGCCTTACGACTTTATGCCTAATACCTTAGTGCACGTGCAACTAGCCAAATGTTTCTTACTTTAGTCCACGAACGTACGTTAGTTTTCCACGTTGGACAAAGAACTTCACATTTCACCTGAAGTTAGTCTCCCATGGCTATAAGTGTGCATCTGAACGGCCGTTCGTTATGAGGCATAGCGTCCACCGCAATAAGAAAGCGGGTCGGCTTTACGGAGAACGATACAAGCTGCTATATTCATATCATGCCTCCTAGCTGCGGCCATGGCAGGCAGCATTCGTTATTTGGTGGGATTACTAAAAAGTGCATAGTTGCTGTCTTTCAATTTTTAACACTTGACTTCCAGCTGTTGCGCAGACAGGTAATCAGGGCAAGATGGCTCAAGCGGTTGGAGCGCGAATTTACTGACCAGAAGGTCTGTGATTCGAACCTGACCTCTGTCTCTCGAATACCCTGTCTAGGTTTGGGCAACTTGACAGTATCCCAGCCGTCGTGCTTCCTTTTGGTAGCATGGCAGCTAGGTACCGAAAAAATGTTGGTGCTGAATGATGATAATCAAGGCGATTTCATCAGATCACAAGAAATCACCCCCCTACGAACGAGTATCACTAATACAGGACCGGCTATCGCAGATGTCCCGGCGATTTTCAATGAAATTCTTCAATTAATCTCACAGATCCAACGACGACCCCACAGGAAGTCAAGAAGTCCCAAGGGGAATTCCGAACTGTCTTCCGAACCCGAAGCGTTGAACATCTTCAGAACATCGCAAATGGATCGTCTGCCACTGTTACACTTCCTATCTACCGGTCCCAAGGGTTTCACCAGAACATCTTACGAAAGAAACTGGGATGATCATAAGGGAAACGTCTTTTGGTTATCCTCACGGCTGGAACGCGAAATGAATGAGCAGCGTGTCGCAGTGAATTGGTGAGAAACTATCCCAGAAACAGTTTAGGTGTATCAACGGAATGAGATGCCGAGTGCTTACTATAGATCAATAAAAGTTAACTGCAAAGAAGGATTCCTGATAGTATTGGAGATCTCACATGAAACATGTTCCTGTACGAGGATGGGTAAGTCTCGATCATATCATGTAACGTTTTAAAGCCCTCAACAACCAGAGAATCAAATAGAGTATTGCGGTGCCTTTTGGAAATTGGAACGACATATACAACCGCAAGTCCCCATATTTACACAGTGTGTGATCTCATTCATAAAGGTACTGAGTTCAGTTAGGCCAGTGGAACAAGGAGAAAACGCAATTAGTCAAAACGATGCGATTGTCAATTAAGGCTTGCTTGGTGGCATTCATGGGAACTTTTAAAAAATTCCAACTACATTAAGGACAAAACGATGCGATTGTCAATTAAGGCTTGCTTGGTGGCATTCATGTGAAATTCTAAAAAAATCAAACTGACATTAAGGATCGGGAGTGGGCTGGGTGGCACGGTAGGAGACTAGATAATCGAATGAAAGGACACCTGAGAAGGACCACCAGCAACAAATGCCCTGAAGTTGTGCGTCTTCAAGGAACCTTCCATATGCACAATTACATATAATAAAGGACACTCATTCAAGAGAGGAGAGGAAGAACCCTGGCACAGGAAGGGGCTAATCATCCCAAGTTCCAACTTCAAATCGGGACAGTGAATTCACAATACACACAGGTTTCCCGTCTGCAGGCAAGTCGACCACGCGCACGGTGTTTGTTGCTCCTGGGCCGGCTTTCCATCCAGTCACTGTCACGACCCGATCGCCGCCGGAAACGAACAGACGAGAACGAGCATAGTCGATTGCAGCATTCATGCTTGCGTCCATGTCTTCACACCAATCCTCAAGTTGTTCTTCTAAACAAAAAGAGAGCGAGAGACAATAGACGGCACCATTAGTTCAGACTGCATTCAGATAGAAGAGAACAATTCTGAATGTGGTGCGTCTAAAGTAAGAAGCCTATTGCGACACCTTCCTGAAACTTTAAACTCTGAGTGGATCAGATGTGGGACTGGATCAAATACAAACTAGGCGCAGTTGAGTTCTGTAAGATGTATCGTAGGCTGCACGAATTTCTATTGTTCCATAACCTCGATTTTGTCACCATGCGTTCCAGTAAGTTCACGCCTTACTCATTTAGATGTCTTGAGCTGAGATTCTGATATGATTCCATTGTACTACTTTCAGAAAGGTGAACTGACAAAAAAGCCATCGGCGGGCAATGGGAGCAGATAGCAACATCTACATGTAAACAAAGAGACAGAAGATTGCATGAAACGGATGAGTCCACAGAAGAAACCTGAATTCACATATGTATTGCGTCCTACTGAGATTTTCGCTGCTTCACAAAGTACGGACTAAAGGTGTTCTCGTATATTGTTTCGTTCAATTAAACTTTTACCGTGTTCAGTTGCTTAGTCTACATATCCGTTCGATACGTCGTTGTGTCACGTCTTACATAAGCACTTTAGTCGTTCCTCACAAGTCACTCGTCCGGTACGCTGTCGGTGTTGATTAGTGGCGCATAGAACTGAGTCGTGTAATCGGATATTGGGCACTAGCAATAAACGCGTGCGACCCCTGCAGATTTTACCTTTGTTATTCCATGAGTAAACAGGAGTGGTTTTCCGCATTGTGCGACGTTGATTCCTTGTACGGCCTGAAACCCACCTCGATAATTATCACTATCAGGACGAGTAGGCACGGTAGCGGACAAATGAATATCTCCAACCCATCCGTTGGATCAAGGAGTCATCAACCTACAAGCCTTATTCTGTTGACAACAGCACCATGGTAGAGCAATGACCTTGGTCGAAACAAACACGTGATCCAGCTGGGAAAATGGTTCGGTCTTTTCAGCAGATATAGTTCTGCAGAACCATGAGCGATCCCTAGTCACCGCGACTAGTGCGGTGGAAGCGGGCCTGACGAACCCTAGCAAACCGAGTACAAGACCAACACAACCTTGTACCAACAAAAAGAATCCGACCGAACAAGCGCACAGTAATAGACAATTTTGAAACCAACTTCCAGCTAACTGCAACCATAAGGTTTCAGTGCTATTTACCATTCCTACCAGTAGTGTGTGCCGTTCACACCGGAATGGAATTTCCTCCAATACCATAGCGACCGTGAGGAGCAGATAAAGAAAATTGGATCTAGCTTCACCGGAGTTGAATTAAAGAGAGGAGAACTATTTAATTTTCCCCTTTGGTGGACAGGAACTGCTGGATTAATTTTACACAGACGGCGACGTAAACTTGGGCAAGACCCGATGGGTCGCCTAGGAAACAAATACAAGTGAGCCGAAATCGATACGAGTTCGCATCGGTTCAAGGACTTAGGCTGATTGCCAGATTGTATAATTCCACTCTTTTATCCTTATTCACACTACACTGTGCGTCTATCAGGCTCTGACAAGAAGAAACGGATCTAATTCACAAGCTCGATAAACAAATCAGTCGGGAGTGCTCAGCCTATTTCCGCTTTTTTTCTTCACACTTAATGAATGATTTAACTCTCACTCAGCAATGATGATAGAAATAGTGCATCTGGCGTGGAGAAGGGGTGTAGGTCACTTCCCAAATTATTTCAACATGCGAGGCTATTGTGTTGGTTACCAAGGCAGAGCTTTCATAAATCAGTGATTCAAGGGTAATTCTGAGACTTCGCGTTTAGTATGACTAAAGTTTGAGATGTAAGGAGCTGACCACCGGCTTGCATGACAGCTAAGCTGCAAAGATAGTTCAGGACAACGAAAGCACTGGTGCATCTGCTGAAACGTGTCATCTACGGCACGGACGTGATACCAGCCTTCGTTAAAAAACGAATAAACAGAGAGTTCTGTGCGGTCCTATCCAATTCAGATCACCGACATGCTGATGCCACGAGAGGAAGACATCGATGCGTCTGCCGTGGTGCCTAAGTTTTTTGAGAATGGCATAAGCAAAAACGAAGTTCCCGCAAGGACATTTGGAACGGGAGGGGACAAGTATATCACACAACGAGCTTTCGGTCCCGGGCATATTCCCCGCACATGGAGTGATCGTTTACCTCTGTGCGCGCATTTCACAAGACCAGAAAACCAATAGAAGGAAACACCTGAAGGTTAAAAAATGAAGAACCTAAACACTAAGCTTGCTTCAGTTCAGTCTCCCAGGCTGAGGCCCAAAAGATGGTGAGAACACGTGGATGATGATGCCTGCTGATGTGACGGAAAATCGACCCCAATGGCGTACGCGTTGTGAATTCTTATCTTGACGTCTCGCCGTTTCGATCAGATTCGCGCCATCTAGGGGAAGTCCAGAGACAGAGGTCGGGTTCGATAATCCAAGGACCTCATAAAGCCCAGAACAGCTTGACAGGGTGTGTTAACATATGCGTTGAGGACAAGATAAAGGCGACTGATTTCCCACAACCACGGAGTGCAGAATGTGAAATAGGCTCGCCCATTAGCACCAAAAAACGCCTACTTCTGTACAGTATGTGGTTAGATGCGATGGAAATATTGTTAGGATCGGGAGAAATCGTCCAAGCAGATGCACTGAACGGTCATTTAGGTCGTGTGAAACTGATCCAATACTGTTTGTGAATAGATCAGACATCAGGTAACGGAAATGTGGTGTACGGCAAGAGAACTTCCGTGATTTATTGAGAGATCCCTTTGAAGAAAGGCCATTCTATACGAAGCTTCAGCGAAGGCGACGACGCAAATAGGGCGAATTTTTCAAAATGGTTCCTTCACCACCAGTTGTCGAACAAGCATCTATGTTCTTATAAAGATGTAAATCGTTTAACCGTGGACAAGTTACGATAATATCGTTACGTTAGTTACATTGACCATTCTCCAGCACGCCGATGTGGTGGTCGAAGTACATAAACCTACCGAGATATAAGAAAGGATGAATTCCACGAAAAGAGTGGCACCAGCGGGCTACTTGGACATCTCTCACGACGGCGACGACTGGACAAGAGGGTCGGAACGCGGCGATAGTGCTAGCTGACCTGAAAGCAAAAAGAATCTGATTATATCACAAACAAAATAAACGAAATGTAAACGACAACTTCTCAAGGAAGATGTGTTTTGCAATGGACGTTCTGAGATAGACGAGGCCGATGACAGGTTGCGTAAACAAATTGTTAGTTGCCCAGGCCGGTAGGTCAGTCGTTCCAAAACAGATTACAGCGGAAATGACGGTTTAATTTATGGATAGCTACTGGCATATGATGATCACAAGCATCACACGGAGTATAAAAGCCATCGAGCGAGGTCTGTTCATTCACACGGATAACGTTGCATTCATTCATCTCGTGGACAGTGACCGTGGACCGATCTACATCAACTGAATGTCGGTCGTGTGTGAATATGTCGCACAACACCAAACTGAAACGGAAAAATTCGATTGGTTTGCTAAGTGCTTCGAGTATGTTAGGTGAACAGTCAGGCTGACTTCACTTGCAGTGGAATTCTGGTTTAGAACATTCGTATTTCGGCTACCAAATAAGGTAATTTATGGCGACCTTGTCACAACACCACCCATTGTAGTGACAACGGACATGGCCTGACGTTGCATTCGACCAATCACTGTGAAGACAAATACACTCACTCTCATGAGGACAAAAAGTGAAAAAA